TGCCTTTATTTTTGTTCTGTGTGCTCCAGAAGCTGAGCTATCTTAGTTCAAAGTCTGAAATCGTGAATTTACGCATAAGAAACGTCTCCTCACCTTAGAAATCTCCATTGACGTATCTTCTCCGTTAGATGGCGGGATGGCGAGAGTGTTGCGATTACCGATTTACCGACTTATAACTGTCATCGCGAAGTCGATTGACAGTTCGCGTGTACGAGAATGAGGTTATAATGAGGTTATATTTTTAATTAATGCATGATAATTTTAAAAATTGTAAAATGTATTTGCCGTGATAGTTTTGAAGAAAAACTATGGAGTTAACAGGGATAATATCAGATAAGTATCGGCGAATGCATAAATAAAAATATATAACGATGTAAAATGTGAATACTTTGTCGTTCTTGCTTTTTATAACTAAATTATAGCTAAATAATAAAGAGAGAAAAGAGGTAGAAAAAAAGAAGAAAAGAAAGAGAGAAAAGAGAGAATGTATGAGAAGAAATGAAGAGGAGGCAGAAAAAATGAAGATAAATTATAAGGTTAAAAAAACCATAAGAGAGCGAAATGGAAAGACAAGAGGAATATATGAGTGAGTAAGAATAAATAAATAAAAGGATAGATAATAAATAAGTAAATAAATTTTTTTGTCCGCGATAATAAGTAATACTAAGTAAATAAGTATTGCTTTAATATATAGGATACATAATATAGGATAACTTATCAAGATATTAGGAAACAACTAGGATATTTTTTATGTTGTTTTTATTTTTATTATTTTTAAATAAGGCAAAAAGAAAGAAAGAAAGAAAAAAAGTACAAAAAAGAGAAACTATAAGGAAAGAAGAAATTATACAAACAGATAAAGAACAGATAAAGAACAAAAAATAGAAACAAAGCAAGAAGATAGAAAATAGAGATATGCAAGAAAGTAAAATAGGAAAGGTTACTTTGTAAAAGTAATTCATTATTATTATTCGTTATTCAAAAAAATACATTGTTACCGTTACTTGAATACTTAGCGTCGTTTCTATTTTTTATAGCTAAATTAAGTAATAAAGAGATAAAAGAGGAATGGAAAGAAAAGGAGAATAAAAGAAGGAGAGAAAGAAGAAAATGTATGAGAAAAAATGAAAAGAAAACTGAAAAATGAAGATAAAATAAATAAACAACTAGGCTGAGAGCCTAAAAAACATAAACACAGAAGAAAAATAAGAATAACTTTGTTTTTCGTGTCTCGAGCTAGACGATATGACCGGCTTAGTTGTTCATTCGCTCTCATCGAACGCGGTTATTCATTCACGACGTAATATCACACGTACTCAGTCGAAACTCGCGCATACCCGCGCTTCACGATAACACTTTTTGATCTTTGTATTTTAAAAACAAGTCGTGCTCTCTCGCATCTTACTCTTTGTCTTTTCCCTTTCTCTTTCCAACTACAATTTCAAATTTCTTTTTCAAAAATGTTGACCGAAAAAGAAAGAATAATGCTGTTTCTTTATTCAAAATTTGGAGACCATATTAGATCATACGAAGAAGTAACTGATCTACACATTCAATGCTGCATATCCTGATCGCAATTTGATTTCTAAATCTATCTTTCAGAAGACAGTGATACGTTTTTACGAAACAGAAACAGTTAAAGATCAAAATCCTTTCAAGCTTCATAAATCTAAAGATGCTTAACAAAAAAAAAAATACTTTATTATAGGTTTTTGGAAAGCCCTTGAAATAAGCTACAAGAATATGTAATAAAAAGTGGGGGGTCCAACTTAAAAAATTCAATTTGACCTTCGTCCTCCACCCATAGTCAAATTTTTAGCCATCATTAGGTACATTTTATTAAGCCCTACAACTTTGCTACTTACATATTTTTCGCTACAGTTGATCCTTTTCGAGATACTTCACCGTTTCCGGACTTTTTGCCAACCCTGTATATATATATATTACTTTTATTTAGTTTCATTATTGATACATAACAACTAACACGCAGAATGACATAATAACCTTTTCGATTCGAGCTTATTTATTTTAATATGGTTTTGCTTACTTTTCAGAGTTATGGCTCCTGCAGACAGGACGCGGTAATGCTTGCCGCGCGGCAGAATATGCCAGTCAATATGTTGTTTTTCCGTAAGAGCTAGAAGGTTATTACGGAAAGCAGCATATTGATTGCGCGAACTTCCGCCGCGCGGCAAGCATTACCGCGTCCTGCGTACAAGAGCCATTATTCTTTCTTTATGAGTTTCCGTCAGTTGGAAATTATTCCATTTGAGGGTATCCCTCTATTTCCAGTAAGCAAATTGAGCGCAGACTGCGCGCAGATTGGTAGCAAATTTGATAAAAAATCCACAGCAAAACCATAGCCATCTCTGTCTATTAGGTGGTAAACTTAGTTCCTGCGGCTCACAGTTAGGTGACGTTAGTTGTAGGTGTAATTTATTTTGACATCTGAAACTGGCTGCATTTTAGAGGTTAGACATTTGTCAATAAAATTCAGTGCAAAGAGATTCATTTAAGCGAGCAGTACTATTTTTTCTTTTGATTACATATGGAACGTGATAAGTTGTTTTTTCGAAATGTGCTGCTTCATTACTTTGACTTGAAAAAAACTGCAGCTGTAGCTCATAAATTGCTTTTCGAAGCTTATGGCAATTATGCTCCATCGG